GGGGACTCACAGTGCAGCGCGCCGCGCCCGGACTCGGCTGGCTCCGCTCGGCGCGCGGGCGGCCCAGAGGATGCTGGCGGGCTGCCCCGGCCTCGGCCCGCGCTCCCGCCCGGGAGGGCCCCGGGTGCGCCCCTAGCCGCGCAGCCGCCGCGGCCGCCGCCAGCGCGGGGGCGAGAGGGAGGGGTCCGGCCGCGCAGCGAGCCGCAGCCCCAGGGGCGGGCGCCCCCCGATTTTCCAGCCCCCGCCGCCTCCTTCCTCCTGCGGCTGGGGGCCCGCGGATGCTGAGGGGCAGCCCCGCGTCTCTCCCTGCCGGATCCCGGGCCTGACGGCGGGGGCCTCGCGCCTCGGCCGGGGACCGGAGACCGGAGACCGGGGACGCGGGCGCTGGCGGGGCGGCGCGGCCCCGGGGCGCTCTGAGCCCTCCTGCCCCTCGCCCGCCACACGCGTGACCCAGCCCCGCAGCCCGCGCAGGGACCGGCCGGACCACGCGGCTCCCGAGTTCCCGCACAGGTAAACGCTGGGGCAGGCCAGCCTTCCGGAGGGCAGGTAGTGCCCCGAGGTGGAGAGCCCGAGCCGCCAAGGGTTGGGTGGGAAAAGGAAGTAAACAGAAGGAAGATTCAGGAATCCCCGGGATGGTTCTGGCTGCTCTCGGGCACGTTTTATCTCCAGCTTCTAAGGCTTGGGCCTGGCGGCGTTTTAGGTGAGGAAGTCAGGGACTGAGGGACCGACCCGGAGTGCGAGGGATGGAGAAGGTGGCCAGGCCTTTCGGCCAGGGGGGACAGGAAACTGACGAGGACAGGACCAAGTGTGTGTGTGTGGGGGGGGGGGTCGGGCGGTGGCGTGAGCGTGGGGGTGGCTGGAGAAGGCTCTGGTCCTGGAGCCTCGTGGCGCAACGATTCTCTCAGGAGGGGTGGGGTGGGTCCTGAGAAACCACAGGCAGGAAGCACCGGAGGTGTTTCTACTCAGCGGGGTCCTTCTAAGTTCCAGATGAGCCGCGCTACCTGTGCCCTGGAGACCTGCGCTGCGTCGCTGTGGGAGGTGGCCGGTCCTCGGTTTTCCCCAGCACTCCCAGAGCCCTGGTAGGTGGCCCATTGCAGAGCCCTCCCCCCCGTTCCCCGTCCACTTCTCCTGGGCCGGTAGAAGCAGACAGCAGCCGGGATGCCAAGGACCCAGGGCTTCTCCGAGCCCGAGTACTCGGCCGAGTACTCCGCTGAGTACTCGGTCAGCCTGCCCTCTGACCCTGACCGTGGCGGGGGCCGAACCCATGAAATCTCGGTCCGGAACTCGGGATCCTGCCTCTGCCTGCCGCGGTTCATGCGGCTGACCTTCGTGCCCGAGTCCCTGGAGAACTTGTACCAGACCTACTTCAAACGGCAGCGCCATGAGACCCTTTTGGTGCTGGTGGTGTTCGCGGCCCTCTTCGACTGCTACGTGCTGGTCATGTGCGCCCTGGTCTTCTCCGGCGACAAGCTGGCTCCCCTCCTCGTGGCCGCGGTGGGGCTGCTGTTGGACACCGTCCTCTTCGTGCTCTGCAAAGAGGGGCTGCTGCCCGACCGCGTCACCCGGAAAGTGGTGCCCTACCTGCTGTGGCTGCTGATAACTGCCCAGATTTTCTCCTACCTGGGCCTGAACTTTGCGCGAGCCCACGCGGCCAGTGACACGGTGGGCTGGCAGGCCTTCTTTGTCTTCTCCTTCTTCATCACGCTGCCGCTCAGCCTCAGCCCCATCGTGGTCATCTCTGTGGTCTCCTGCGTCGTGCACACGCTCGTCTTGGGGGTCACCGTGGCCCAGCAGCAGCAGCAGGACGGGCTGAGGGGCATGCACTTGCTAAGGGAGGTGAGTCCCACCCGGGGTCCCACCCAGGGGCTTCCCTTCCTGCTCTCATCCGCTCTGGTGCCGGTTTCGGGGGTGGGATGACTCTGTTTTCTTTGCCCTTGAGTCCACATGTGTTGGGGTGGTGGGGGTGCCTCTGGGAATCTCAGCTGCTTGGGCAGGAAGACCATTTCTCCCTCAACCCCCTGGCTTTGCACTAGAGCTTTCTGTGCTGGGCCTGAGGGAGTGGAGGATGTCAGGACATCGGGCCTCAGGGCCACTGTGTCACCTGTGTCCAGCCCAGGTGGGTGGCAGGAAGGCCCGCGAGGCCTGGTGGAGGGGCAGCCATTGTCCCAGCCGGTCCCTGCCCTTGATCTCCTCCGGAAAGACCTCTTGTGGGGAAAGGAGCTCCCTTGGCTTGCGGTCTCCAGCCTGTCATTGGCTAGCTTCAGCAGTTGTCTAACTTGTGTGGGCACAGTGCCCCTCTGTCAAGTGGGGACTGTCTGTCTGCCTACGTGGTGGTTACCAAGGTCAGAGGGAATGTGGGTGAAGACACACTAGGAGACACGAAGGTGCGGTGGCCCTAGATCCTGCTTGAGCTCAGGGGGTGTGGAGCACTTAGATGATGTGAGGTGTGCTGTGGGGACCCAAACGAGGACAGTCGTGCTCACCACGGCGGGGGAAGCTCTACTAGTCCTTTGAGGATGTGTTTTGCTCGAAGGGATGGAATTTGGGCCTCAGCTTAATTAAGAGCCTTGTGCTCCGACCAGGAGCCAAGACCCTGTAGGTGCTGAGGGGCTGTAGAGACTGGGAGATGTGATTCTCAGCATCCACGTTCATCCGGTAACCCATCTGGAGGCGTTTGTGGGGCTTAATAAATTCCAGTCTTGTGACCTATCTGCTGCCTCCTTTATTCGTGAGCCTGGAGATGAAAAGTGACCTGCCCAAGGCCACATAGGCAGGTACAGTAGTCACATGCCTGGAGTGTCCATTTCTCAATTCCAGTGTTAGTGACCGTCCTACTTTATCACGACGCTGGCTGCATCTCGGCCAAAGCCATCATCCTTGTCTTTTGGGCTTGAGGGCTGAGTCTCCAGGGGCCCCGCGGTGCTGTAGGGAGTTGATGCAAGAACCCTGTGGGGCTCGTCCCATTGCCTCCCAGTCGGTTAGAGGACAACACAGCTTTTCTATTTTAACTTTTTCCTGGTTCTTGGACCAAAATTCTTCCTGTTCTTCCATTCTGGCTCATGCACTGTCCTCGCTCAGGAAGCTTTGTGCTTTTGTTCTGCAGGAGTCCAGCCCTGGGCTGGTGCATGTGGACCATGTGGGTACACCAACGGTTGTTCCTTTGTTTTTCTCCCAATACCCTGTTCACATAAAGTGACGATCTGCCATTGCCGTCCTGACTTCTGGGTTGGTGGACTTTAGCTTGTGCTTCTGCCAGTCAAGGGCCCTGCTGGGAGCTGTCTGGGGAGGAATGGCAGGAGCCATTCTGCTTGGAATCATTAGCGCAGCTTGGGGCAGACAGGCGGGTGGACATAGCAGCATTTGGGGTCTGGGATCCGACTCTGAACCATTCCTTTCTACTGAACAGTCACTGCTGGCATTTTCCTCTCTGCTGGGGGGCCCCTGGACCACACGAGTCTCCCGTATGCCTCACTGCCCGCTAAGGGAGCTAAACAAAAATTCTCTCCTTTGGAGCCCCAGATACTAAACTCATGATTGCTGGTGTCCTGTGGGCACTATTAAGAGGAGACAAAAACCCAAAAAGATTAGGAAACAGGAAAAGAAATAAGTAAATAGAAGATAACCATGTTAGCATCCCAGGAGAGCGTGGCCTTGACGTGGAGGCAGGGCCTTCGATGTGGTTTTGGGAATGGAAGGGAAGGGGGAGGTGGCTCTTGAGGTCCGTTTGGGAGCCTGGGATAGAATGCAGGAGGCCCCGGCTTTCAGTGGGCTGTGTTCCAGAAGTTTGAGTCACTTGTTTGGAACTACTGTGACTTTTTAAAAGGTGCCTGGGTTCCCAGGCCCACTCGCCAAAGTTTTCCTTAAGTCGCAGAGTCCCTGCCTTCAGTATTTCTGGATGTGGTGGAAACTCAGCCCAGGTGTGCGTGTGTTGTTGTGAGGACACTGCATCCAGGGCTCCTCCAGCTGTGGAATGAAGCAACACTCACCTGCCCACAGCTTCTCTGGGCCCATGTTACCTCCTGGGTGGGGAGCACCATCAAGGGTCGGTTGGACCAGGGGCTGGAGGACAGGGATGTGAGGCTGGGGCAGTCGGATGCCCAGCTAGGGTGACACCAGGCACGTACTCCAGACCCCGGCACTCCCTTGCTTTTCTTTCTCTTGCCTGCAGCCTCCCCTTTTCTTTTTCTTTTTCTTTGCCCATTACCTGTTGGTTCCAGCCAAGGATTCCTTCCTGGGCCTGTGGGGGGTGAACTAGGTTTCATGGTTAGAAGCAGACACTGGATTTTGGGGCTTTGGGAATGCTTCTGTTGCTGCTGCCTTCTCTGCACCCCTTCATTCTCTCAAACCCATGCTCCATTCTAATGGGGGGTGAGGATCAACAGAGGGATGGTGGGGGGACCCTCAGAGTAGCCTGACATGTCAGCGGCAAGCCATCCAGCCTGCCCCTGGCTCTTCTCATGGGAGACAGGCAGGTTGGGGTTCTGACAGGAAGAGCAGGTGGAGTCCGGCTGTCAGATGGGGTGTTGCTGGGGCTTTATTAGTGAATGAGTGAATATGACTGAGCAATAGGTATGGGCCTTATACCTGCAGGGTCTGGGAATGATAGGAATCAGACCATCACAGTCAGAGACTGGGGTGTAGGGGAGCTGGGCCTGGGGGGAGCAAGCTGCTGCTGGCAGGGTTTCCCCACATCCCTCCCCTGTCCTGGGTCCTGGCACCTGGCGCCACTAGGCCTCTTATGGCACAGCTTGCCTTCTACTGCTACAAACTGCCCTTAAGGTGATGGGATGGAGCAGGAGGGGGTCGAGAGCAGGACCAGGCAGCAGCTGATGGGTGAAGATGGGGGGGGCTGAAAATGCAGCCAAGGTGATGGGGATGGGGAGTGTTCCTGAGGCCAGTGGCCATTCCTGAGACCCTTGATGCTCCCATGATCTATTAGCATCTGATGGGGTTGTTAAAGCAAAGAGTCTGTGACAAGTTAGGGGCAAGAAACAACATTTGCAAAATACCTTATTGCTTTATTTCATAGCAGAAAGGCTATTTGGAAGCAAAATTTCCTCTTGGAATTAATAGCCTGTTAAGACCTTTACTTACAAATTAGAACATGATAGAGCTGTGGATGTGTAATTTCCCGTCACACGTACCAATGATCTAGGCCGTTCACCCCGTGAATGAACATTTGGCTTCGAGGGGCTGGAGGCAGCTACAGTAGGGGCATCATGGGAGGGGCTGATGCTTCCAGATGCCTTCATCGGCAGGCTGGAGTTTAGGGTTCTATATACATCACCCCATTTGATCCTGGATTGTTACTGGCTCCATTTGACCAATGAGGAAGCCGAGGCTCAGGGAGGTTGAGGGTTGATGGAGGGGCTAGATAACTGGGGAGGGTCACTGGTGAGTGAGAAGGTGGCTGCAGGGGACGGGACAGGACATATCCCAAGGCTTCCCTGAAAGCCCCTTTCTGTGGAATGTGGGCCTCTGGGCCTCTGTCCTGCTTCTCTGGCTGCCCCTAAATGTCTCTGCTCAGTGGTGGTGAACAAAGGTGCCAAGAAGTGCGGGGCCCAGAAATATCAAAGGAAGCACCCCTCGCTCTTCCCCTGGGATTTGGCCACAAGGAGGGAGAAGCCCATGATGGAGTTTTCCTGTTGGGACCATGGCGGGTGTGAGAAATGAAATGTGATGAATTGGAACAGGAGCTGGGTGGAGTGGGGGCAGGAAGACAGCAGGCTGGGCGGGGGGCGGGGTGGGTGGTTCTGAGCAACCAGAGGCATCGAGGTAAGAGAGGGGTGCAGGAAATGGGGGGGCAGCAAAGCCAACCCTGGATCAGCCCTCTGCCGCCATCCCAGAGCGGGACAGAAACGGTCATATCGCCCCCCCCCCCCGCCCCAATGTGCAGACTGTGCAGGTGGGCGGGTTTTAGGAATCCGAATAATAAGGAAAGGCCTAGAAGGGGACGGGGAGGCATCAAATCTAACTGTGGAAGAACAGTCAATTATCGAACATGTAAACACCTTTGCAGCAAGTCACCCCCTCAATCCCGCCCCAGGTCACGTTTCTCTGTGGCCTTTTTGGATCCTTCTCTATGTGGAAACAGCTTTTCCAGTATGTCCTTGTCCTGCATGTGGGGCGGGGGCCGGCCAGCTGGCCGGCCCTGCCTCTCACCACATTGCCTCACTGAGGTTTTGCCATGAGTATCCAATCCCTCGTGTTTATTTTTTTATTTTTTTTAAGATTTTATTTATTTGACAGATACAGAGCCAGAGAAGGAACACAAGCAGGGGGAGTGAGAGAGGGAGAAGCAGGCTTCCTGCCGAGCAGGGAGCCCAATGTAGGGCTCGATCCCAGGACCCTGGGACCATGACCTGAGCTGAAGGCAGAGGCTTAACGGCTGAGCCACCCAGGCACCCCTCCCTTGTGTTTATTTTAAATCTGCACTTTATCATTAGTGGGCTTTCCTGAAGAGGAAACCAGAGCCCAGGCCTGGACCACTGGTGGGTAACTGGGTAGCAGCAGGGGCGATCAGACACCAGTGTCCATGCTGGGGTCTCCCCTTGCCCCCCTGCCAGGCCCGCCCTGTGAGTGGCTACATGTATGTCCCCCCACCACAACTCCCCTGTCACCTCTTGGTATGTACTCTCAGTGGTAGGCTTCCACGGGTATGATCCTGACCAACACTCAGATGTGTGTGCTCAGGGGTCACACCCACCTTCAGGGCCAGGCCCACTGAACACGGAGTATACACAGGGTGCCCTCATTTACTGAGCTCTTGCTGGGTTTCAGTCGAGGAGCTCCCAGCAAGAGGTAGATATTGTTTTCATTTTACAGATGGGTAAACT